CTCCCTCTCCCTGTTGTTTTGTATCAAATTTGTAATTGCGGAAAATGCGGAACTGAAAAAAGGCATGTGGGGAAGGTCGTGATTGCCATGTATGATTTGAGAGCGCATATGGGAGGGGGTTGATCTCCCTCTCCCGTTTTTTTTTTTTTTTTTTTCTCCTTACAAATGCGAGGGAACTCAAAAAAACCACGTGGGGAAAGTCGTCATTGCCATGTACAAAGTCAGATCGCACACAGAAAGGGAGTTTATCTCCCTCTCCCTTTTCTTTTTCGTTTTTTTTTTTTTCTTTACAAATGCGAGGGAACTCAAAAAAGCCACATGGGGGAAGTTTGTCATTGCCATGTATGAACTGAGATCGCATAGGGGAGGGGTTCGATCTCCCTCTCCCTTTTTTTTTTTTTTTTTTTTTTTTTTTCTCCTTACAAATGCGAGGGAATTCAAAAAAGCCACGTGGGGAAAGGTCGTCATTGCCATGTATGAAGTCAGATCACACACGGGAAAGGAGTTTATCTCCCTCTCTCTTTTTTTTTTTTCGTTTTTTTTTTCGGATTACGAAGATGGCATGTAATGAAACTGCAAACTGCCACGCGGGAAAGGGTCACAATCGGCACGTCTGAACTGTGATCGCACAGGGAGGGGGGTTGATCTCCCTCTCCCTTTTGTTTTGTGTCAGATTTGTAATTGCGAAAAATGCGAAACTGAAAAAAGGCATGTGGGGAAGGTTGTGATTGCCATGCATGAACTGAGATCGCATAGGGGAGGGGGTTGATCTCCCTCTCCCGTTTTTTTTTCTTTTTTTTTTCTCCTTACAAATGCGAGGGAATTTAAAAAAGCCACGTGGGGGAAGGTCCTCATTGCCATGTATGAAGTCAGATCGCACACGGGAAGGGAGTTTATCTCCCTCTCCCTTTTTTTTTCGTTTTTTTTTTTCGGATCACGAAGATGGCATGTAACGAAACTACAAAGTGCCACGCGAGAAAGGGTCACAATCGGCACGTCTGAACTGTGATCGCACAGGGAGGGGGGTTGATCTCCGCCTCCCTTTTGTTTTGTGTCAGATTTGTAATTGCAAAAAATGCGGAACTGAAAAAAGGCATGTGGGGAAGGTCGTGATTGCCATGTATGAAGTCAGATCGCACAGGGAGGGGGGTCAATCTCCCTCTCCCGTTTTTTTTTTTTTTTTTTTTTTCTCCTTACAAATGCGAGGGAACTCAAAAARGCCACGTGGGGGAAGGTCGTCATTGCCATGTATGAAGTCAGATCGCACACGTGAATGGAGTTTATCTCCCTCTCCCTTTTTTTTTTCTTTTTCTTCTCCTCACAAAGGCGAGGGAACTCAAAAAAGCCACGTGGGGGAAGGTCGCCATTGCCATGTATGAAGTTAGTTCCGCATTTTTCGGATCACGAAGATGGCATGTACCGAAACTGCAAAATGCCACGCAGGAAACGGTCACACGTGGCACGTCTAAACCGTGATCGCACAGGGAGGGAAGTCTATCTCTCTCTCCCTTTTGTTTTGTGCCAGATTTGTAATCGTGAAAAATGCGGAACTGAGAAAAGGCATGCGGGGAAGGTTGTGATTGCCATGTATGAATTGAAATCGTATAGGGGAGGGGGTAAATTTCCCTCTCCCGTTTTTTTGTTCGATCTTTTTCTCCTCACAAATGCGAGGGAACTCAAAAAAGGCACGTGGGGGAAGGTCGTTATTGCCATGCATGAAGTCAGATCGCACACGGAAAGGGATTTTATCTCCCTCTCCTTTTTGTTTTGCATCAAATTTGTAATTGCGAAAAACGCGGAACTGAAAAAAGGCATGTGGGGAAGGTTCTGATTGCCATGTATGAACTGAGGTCGCACAGAGGAGGGGGTTGAGCGGGAACGCCGACAGCAATGGGGGGGTCCGGCGCTCCGGGAACGCCGGACCCCCTTGCTGCTGCGGGCATCGAGGGGGTGGGACGGACCCCCTTCATCCTCCGCAGCATCAAAGGGGTCCGGCGTTCCCGGAACGCCGGACCCCCTTGCCGGTGCGGGCATCGAGGGGGTGGGACAAAACCCCTCCTCCCCTGCAGCACCTGGGGGGTCCCACGTTCTGGGAACGCCGGACCCCCTGGGCGTTGCGGGCACCGAGGGGGTGGGACGGACCGCGCTCCTTCCCCGCAGCACCAAAGGGCTCCAGCGTTCCGGGAACGCCAGACCCCCTTGGTGTTGTGGCCATCGGAGGGATTCGGACGGACCCCCTTCATCCCCCTTGGTGATATGCGGCAATTGTGGACGGGGGGGGGGGGGGGGGGGTGGTGATATGCGGCAATTGTGGGGGGGGGGGGGCGGGAAGGACCCCCTTGCTCCCCCGAAGCACCGGGGGGTTCCAGCGTTCCGGGAATGCCGGACCCCTTGCTGCTGCCGGCATCGAGGGGGTGGGACGGACCCCCTTGATCCCCCGCAGCATCAAAGAGGTCCGGCGTTCCCGGAACGCCGGACCCCCTTCCCGGTGCGGACATCGAGGGGGTGGGACGGAACCCCTCCTCCCCCGCATTACCTGGGGGGTCTGGCGTTTCGGGAACGCCGGACCCCCTTGGTGTCGTGGCCATCGAGGGGGGGGGGATGGTGGTGGGTCTGCTATTTTGGGGACGCCGGACCCGCACACACAACGGTCGTGGGGTCCGGCTTTCTAGGAACGCCGGACCCGCACTTAGTGTTCTTTTCTTGTTGTTTTTTTCTCTGCGACCCTTCAGGAAAATCAGTGTCTGGCTCCGCCCCCGAAAAACGGTTATATGGCAGGTCTAAGCTCTACCACGACAAACCATGGGCTCTTGATTGGGTAGGTGGCCTTCAAATGCCGGGTTGCGGAGCCGTTGTCTTCTTGAGCGATGACAATGGCCTGAGTTGGTACTGCTGCGGAGAGGTGGAGAAATTGGAAGCGGGGAGGTTTACCTACGACGGCAGGAAGTTCAGGACCTTCTTCCTTACGTCTGTCTATGACAGAGAGGGGAAAAACTGGTTCAAGGAAGACAAGAAGGTGTCTCTTGATTATCGGCTCTTCCAAGGATACGGGGTCAAGGCTTTGTCCATGAAAGCGTTTGATGTGCGTGGGAACGGAACAGAGTTCCAAATGCTGGATCCGGAAAAGTTTCTTTCCAAAACCAATGGCTACCGCGTGACTGGGTCCCTGCCTGTCGTCGACAGCGCTTTCATGCTCAGCATACCTTTGGTCCAATTCAACAGCCCGACGGACCAGCTCGCGGCTTTCGTTATGCGATACAGGGAAGAGTTCGCGAGGCTGCCTGCTCCCCAACAAGTTGACCGTGTTTTCGTGCCGATTGACGCCCCGTCTTCGTCGGTTGCGGGGCCCAAACGGCGCCAGGATCAGCCGGCCAGAGCGGGTGGAAAGAGGAAACAATTGCCGACTGCCCCGTCTTCGTCGGCTGCGGTTGTCCAGGCTTTGCCCGCTCCAGTAACGCCCTCAGATCGGCAAGGTCGCGATGCGGCCGAGCAGTCCAGCGAGGCCACAGACTACGACGATGGGGCTGTGCGCTATCGGGCTGGTCCGCAGCATCGTTCCCAGGGAGGTGCAGGTGCCTTCGATGACGAGGAATGCGAGGGCCAAGATGGAGAGGGCGGTGGTTGGGATGGGGAGGGCGGTGGTGAGGAGGGGGAGGGCGGTGGTGAGGAGGAGGAGGGCGGTGGTGAGGGGGACGACGATAACGAAGGAGATGCTGAAGGTGAGGACGATGGCATGGATGAGGAGAGAGACGATGTTGGTGAGGAAGTTGAAGACAATCGCCCCTATGACCACGCCATGCGACAGGGAGACGAACCTGGCTCACGGGGAAAGCGAAAGAGGGGAGAGGCGTCGACCTCTCCTGCGAGTCGAACAAAACACGCGAGGGCCGACGCCGTCAATGAAGCTCGCGGAGCATTGACGACATCACAAGAAGCGCGGGCTCCTCGGAAAACTAGTGGGGGGGGCGAAGTGGTAGCCGCGGGGGCGGTCGCGAGGGCGGTATGAAAGGCTCGCAGAGGTCCAGGGCACCTGAGCTGCGGGACTCGGGGGATGAGGGCGAGGGGGTGGGGCCTCGCATGCCCGAAGACGTTGAAGAGTTGGTTCAGCACGCCACGCCCGTGGACACGACACGATGTTTCTTCCTCGAATACGACGAACAGGGTTTCGCCAGGCAAGACGTCCAAGTTGTTAACGTCGACGTTAATAGGATCAAACCCATTCCCCGTGGGAAGATCCTTTTTAACCACCATTCGTTGTCTGAGAACATTGTGAGAGGCATCGAGAGTGCCATAGAAAGCTCCATCAGTGCTGACCCGGGGGTGTGGGATAGACATGAGCTCGTTCTTGCGCCGGTTGACCCCAACGTCATCGTCGGGGGGCAGGGAAGGCGAATCACGCCGGACGAGTTCTTCCAAAGAGATTCTGCAGAGTTCGACTGGTACGCTGTCTGCGGTCAGCATACTGCTGAGGCCATGAAACGGTTGGTTGGAAGGGACACCCCCGCCGTCAAAGTCTACGACCTTCGCACGTACTCTAAAGTACGAGTCGTCTTTTTCGACGATGACCACACACGCGGGTACTTCAATGTCTCCCTCTTCGACAACACACGGGAGAATCGCGCCATGATGTTATCCTTCCAGTACGCTGTGCGTGATATGCGGCAATGGTGGATCGACAACAAGAGGATCGAGGCACCCAAAGCTAAGGTCAGCGAGAAGGATGCCGTCGCCGTTGCGCACTATAAAACGTGGCAGAACTTCCTGAGGGCCTGCATGGGGAAGGCGTGCGATAAGGCATTCGTGAAACAGACACTCGACAACGAATACAACAAGGATTGGAGTAACAAACTTCGGGGGTACCTGAACCTCGCCACGTCCACCCGCACGGTTTGGCCGCTGGTGGAGAAGTTCTTCGCGATGTTCGAGGAGGGTAAGCTGCCAATCGACGACGGCAAGATCCCGCTTGAGATGTCGGGGAGGATGGAGGGGCGCTTGCCCGGCCCGTACACTGACGAGAACAAGGGACAATGGACTTTTTACCACTGCATATATGCGAGAGATGGTCCCAAGGGCTCCACCGTGTCGTGGAAGGATTTGTGTCCTACGTACTTCAAAAACTTCGGGGACATGACATGCCGCGAGAGAGAAGTCGCGCTACTTCTGCTCATGTCGGGGAAAGTGGTGGCAACAAAAGTGAGAGTCACGCCTCTGAGGGTGAACACAGAGTGCCTCCTCGACATTATGCGCAAGGAGAGATACATGATCCGCATGTTCAACTACGTTGTGTTTCGCAGAGGGAAGGGCAGGGGACGAATGGAACGACGACTTCTTCATGTCGTACAAGGACCTGGAAGACAGGTATGCTTCAAACGGGTTATTCGCAGATGAATGGGAGAAGCAACGGGAGAAGCTGCATAGCAACTTAGTGAAGACGATCCCTCGGCGACTTGGAGGAGTGGAGGAGGCGAGGCAAGGTGCGGGCTTGGGGCCTACAGAAGTGATGTACAAGGAGGCTCCGTTTCACTTCAAGGTCTTTATATACACCACGATCGATAAGCTCAATATGCTTCGAGCGGAGGTGAAACGGATCGCACGCCATCTTGTGTAGGACAAACTCCACAGGCAGACCACATTGCTTCCTGTATGCATGCGGTCAAAGGAGGTTATGGCGGCGTCCGTCGACATCGTCGCAGCCGCACAAAAAATGGCATGCAGGGCCGCCATCGTGGACATCTCGGCCGCGAATTTCAAGAGTGCATGGACCTCGCAGGACTTCGATGCTCTTTACGCAATGATGGCGAAGTGTTGTGGTCCAAATTGGGTCCTCTTCTTCTTTGCACCGCAGAACGTGCCAAGCGATGTCTTGCGTCAATTGTACCGTTGGGAGGAAATGGAGCTTATCCCCGGGTCATGGAAACGCGTGGACAGGCCGCTGAGCCACGTCACAAAGTACGGCAACATCCCTACGAGCAGTCGGGACCTGATGGCGATCGTGCTGCACACTGAAGGAGGGGATCTGAAAAAAGTAACTGTCGCACCCCGACTTCAGAACCATCTCACCGAAGTGCATGTTATGGAGGAAAAGTTCGGGAAGTGTCTTGGAAAACACGGTGGCGTCGAAGGCGACGAAAGTGCTGCATATTCAATTTGGGAGCGAGAACCTGGCAAGTTGTGGAAGTTGTGCAGTTCATTCGTAGGAGAGGCGGAAGGTGTGCTTTTGCTAGGTAGGGCGCACACGGGTCTTGTATGAAAGTTATTGCTTGCAGGTAATAATGTCATTGCCTGTGACAAGTCGGCCAAGGACATTGCATACTTGACAAAGTTCGTCGACATACTTGTTAAGGATGGGAGATTTGAGTGCCGCCTCGAGAAGCCGCGTGCCACACATCGCATCGCACGAACAGGGATATGTACCACAAGTTGTACCCGAAAAGACAGAAGGTGTGGGAATACCTGTTCCGCGATGCGCCGGATGGACGCCTTGATGGGGGATACATATATAGGAAAGCGAAGGTGACCGAGGCCCTCAAACATTATCACGGTGCTCTAACTGGCGCCTTTGAGACATTCATTGCTCGATGCGAGATCTTGAGGTTTGATCTTCACAAAGATAAACTGACGTTTAAGGACTATGCAGACCTCGCTAAATCGGGTGAAGGCTTTAACCCCGTTGACAGCGAGAAAGACTCGTCGGACTCCGACCCCGAGATCGAAGAGGACACCAATGCAACCGGGTGGTGTGGGAAGTCCGCTGCCATGGAGCAAAGCTTCAAGGGATATGGACCGGGTCAATCAAAGGGATGCTCGAACCTGCCACCCGCAAACAGTGTGGCCTCGGGTGTGGATCGGGTTGTATGTACGCCTGTGGAAGACGATGAAGACGATGAATTTGATATTCCTGCTCAGCCAACGAAGCTGGCGCCAGGTGATCCGATTCCTCCCAGATTTTGTGCGGATCCAAACAATGTATATTTCTTGGATGACAAATACCCCTGCACTACTGAGGACAAGTGGAGCCATGATATCATTTGGCATGACAGCATTTTCGAGCCATGTATCCAAGGCGGGGAGTGGAAAATGGCGGTGAAGTATGTCTCGAAGGGTTGGAGACCGTTTGCCCGCATGGGAAAGGACAGCTGGCTGAAGACGACGGAGCAATCAATACTATACCGCTGTCAGAAAGAGAACCCCGGGGAGAGTGAAACATCTATCGCGGCAAAGGCGAAACAATTGTTCGACGCCTTGGGAGCCACTCGGCAGTTCGAGTACTCACACAAGTTTTACGAGCTGCAGTTGAGCCCCTCGTATGGCAAGATTGACTGGAAGGTTGAGCGCACCGCCGCGCTCGAGAGCATGGACGTGGACTCCCGAGAAGATGCCGCCCCTGTGCCCGAGGCGGCCACAGGGAACACGATGGGTGAACAAAAGGAAGATGGCGGGACGACGTTGGGCATGAAGCCTCCGTTGCCAGAGGCGGGGAACACGCCCGCAGACAAAAACACCATTGAAGCCATCTCTGTCACAACGGGGGATATATCACAAGGTGAAAAAGTGTCACTCGACAAGCCGGCGGATGCGGACGTCACATACGGGAGTCTCCTCGCGACAGGTGCGGCATTGGCAGGCACATCGGAGATGGTGTCAGAGTCCACTGCTGGGATGGGCGTCACGGGGATGTCGTTGCATCCGCCCACATGCACTAGCAAATGTGACGCACACTGTACAACAACACCACAGGGAGGGGTCATAGGGGATGACGGGAATGGGGGAAATGCAAGGGGGTCTCCACGTTCTCGCAATATTGAGGACATGACGACAGACGTTGAGGATGGGGTAGAAGGCGGAAAGGGCGTAAGCGATCCCACGAGTGCAGAAAATGAGGGGTGAGACAGGGAATGAACTTGAGGGGAATCCTCTTTGCGGGGAAATATAATGTTTTCGTGTGTGTGCTCATTTGTGTGAAATCTGGGTTTGTGGGCAGAATTTGTTCCTGTGTACAATCGACCTGCAGACTCATTAGTGTTCAATTTCTGGGATTTGACCTTTTAATTGTTCACAAGAAAATTGTGTGGTGAACAAGAGTGTGTCGTAGTATGCGTGTGTGTCTCTCTATATTCGTCAATATGCTGCGTTGTGTATATGCATGTATGCCGTTGGGGTACGGTGATGAAAGGGGGCAGGAGTCAGGATTGATTGGTCCCGAAGTGTTGTCGTCCATCTAAGCGTAAGTTTAGCGAAACATTGATCACGTATCTTGAATACATCATTTCCATTTAGCATGTTATGCTAAGGCACTTGCCCATGTACAAGTATCTCAAATGGTCGCCCTCCCCGTTTTTCACACCGCCTGCCCACCCGTTTCTCACTTTCCTGTAAGGGCGACAATTTTTTTACACCCTGTCCGCCTCGGTCACCGTCGTTTACACCGCGGTCGATGTCGTATTTGTCGTGCTTATCGTGTGCTGTGCGAATTACAACAACGGATACAAGAAAGTGCAAAAGAGGGTGGACAATGCGCCTCGCAACATCGTCTTTATCAGAGAAGGAGATGAAAGCACTCTCACATGTAAGCCGGGAGTACGGGAAAAGGTTCCCAATAGCGAGCACACACAATCATGGGACGAACGAAGTATTGAAGCTAACTCGAGACGAATTTATTTCACTGGTCGACGAGCGGAACTGGTTAAATGACAACGTCGTCAACTTCTACTCGAACCTCATCGCACTAGACAACTGGTATAGAATCACACACGTAGAATGCGACGCCGAGAACGAGACCGTGATTAGAATCGGAAAGGGTCGCATTCCTAGAATATCAGTGCTGAGCTCGTTTTTCTTCGCTAGACTTTTCGACAGCGAAATGAGATATCAAGAGCGAAAGGTGCAGCACTGGTCGAATGACATTATAATAAGTGACATGGACTTGATAATTGCCCCTTTCCATATCGCACACACGAACCACTGGACCCTCGTTGTGGCTGACTTCAGGAGGAGGAAATTTGAATTTTACGACTCCCTCAACCCCGACAAAGAGCTGGCAGCCAAAGTGACCGGCGGATTTGCAAAGTTTTCGTTTAAAAGATCGATTCAGCAAGGCAAAGAGGTGGACACGAAACCGTTTAATCACATATGGACCGTAGAGGGCGTTCCGAAACAACGTGACACTAGCTCGTGTGGGGTCTTCATGCTCGCATACCCATCGCTATTGGCAAGGGGTCACCTTCCGCCTTTCTCTTTCACCGCTGATGACATACCCGCAATACGTTGTCGAATGGCTTTGGACACAATGGCTCGCGAGTAGTATGAACCTGCTGCTGGATATTGTGATTACATGCGGATGGATGTGGGTAATATTAAATTGTTTGTTATGGAAACAGTGTATAAAAGATGACAACCTTTCCTCCAAGTTCCTGCCCCTTACCCCTTGTCATTTACCCCTTATCCCTTACCCCCAAACCCCTTACCCCTTACCCCTTACCCCTTACCCTTGCATGTATACCCATACCCCAAATTCAAATGCATTTTTTACCCTAAATCACCACGGAAATGATCATTTAAATTTCGTACAAAAAATAAAAAATGTCCGTTTTGACGAAATCGCTGTTAGAATGGAAAAGAATGGCCCTAACCAGGCTGTTCAAATTGAGAATGGAAAAGACTGGCCCAAACCAGGCTGTTCGACTTGAGAATGGAAAAGAACGGCCCTAACCAGGCTGTTCGACTTGAGAATGGATAAGAACGACCCTAACCAGGTTGTTCGGGAACGGTACCTGACAAGGGTCATTCCCGTGTGTCCGAAATTGGATTTAACACGGGTTTCGCATTGAAAAATTCAACGCGCGTTGAATTCGCGTTAAACTCCCGTTCAAACGCGAGTTGGACGTGAATTAAAGGGGTCCGAGATGATTTTTTTCGTGGGCTAAAAATTATCCAAAAAAAAAATAAAAATGGGGTTGTACTTTTTCTTGAGGACTACAACCCTGTATTTTTATATTTATTTTTGGATGCTTAAATCTATTTTTAACAAATCAAAAAAAAAAAAAAACACAATGAAAAAACAAAAACGAAAATGAAATGAGTGTTTTTGTTTTGGGTTTCACACAGATTTTTTAAGGGCTAAGACGAAAACAAAAAAAATAAATAACAAATATAAGGTTGTAGATCTTTCAAAGATGTACAACAATTTATTTTTTATTTTATTTTTTGGAACTTCGTGTATTTTTAAAAAAATCGAAACCATAAAAAGCAAATTGAAAAAAGGAAAAAAAGACACACAGACACACAAAATTGGGCCTGTAGCAGGTTGCATGAGTCTGGTGTCAGTTGGTTGAGGGAACCTAGGTCCTGGGCCGCCTGTGTGAATGGATGGAAAGCAGGCCTTGGGCTGGATACGGGTACTGGGCCAAACACAGGCCAAAGGCAGTTGGGGGCATGCAACCACCTCAGGCCCAAGGCCTGTTCTCGTTCGTGCTGTGCCTCAGGCTACCGGGGCCTACTGGAAGCTTCCTGGGACTGAACACAGGCAGGCCATTTCGATATAGCAAAGGGTCTGCCTCCACATTGGGCATTCGGGTGCTGGTTGCATGCTGCGTAAGCGCTGCCGCGCTGTAGCTCGTGCCACTCACGCGCTCACGGGCGAGCAAGAAGGAGCAGGCAGCCATAGCCGAGCTGCGCTGCTGTAAGCTGGGTGTGGCACAGGGTGGTCCTTGGATGCAAGTGGAATCGGTGTGTTGGGGAACGAGGCTGTGAGTAAGGCGAGACACACTCTCACGCGCAGGCACAGACACACTTACACACACACACACACTTACAAACACACACATACACACACACACACTTACAAACACGCACATACACAAACACACACATATACATACACACACACACTTACAAACACATACATACACTTACAAACACAGACACACACACACACACTTACAAACACACACATACACAAACACACGCGCATACATTCATATTCATGCACAGACACACTCTCACTGCAGGCACACACATACAGAGATACACGCACACACAGCACACCTACACACACATAACTGGGGCGTTGGGGGTTGGGGGATGTGGGGGCGGATGGGAGGTGCTTCAAGGGTTG